CTACAAGCATGTCCAGGAAGTTTTCTAAAAAATATTGCAAACAAGAGGAGACAATATAGCCAACAAGAGAATGAATAAATAAATGAATACATCCATGTAATAGAATAATAGCATACTGTTCAGTGATTAAAAATAATGGCTATTTCTTGCCACAGAAAGCTGTTTACCCATATACTGGGAAGTAAAAATGGCAGATTCCAGAACAGGATGGATGATTCCAGCCAATTGTGGCAATTAAAAAGAAAGTTCTCGCAGATGTGATCGAAGGAGATAGACGCAAGTTGTTAAAAGGGGATTTTCTTGGTCTTGGATAATTACAGATATTTTATTATCTTCTTTATTCTTACCTGCCTTTTCAAAAGTTTCCTCCATGAACTATCTTAACTTTATAATAAGGATAAGAAGATAAAAGTCATTAGAAAGAAGAATTTCATCTGTCACTAGACCACTGCTGTCCGTGTTGATTAGGCGAAGAGCGAGACGTGATGGGCTTTTTAACAAGTCTTAATGACCTGGGCTTTACAGTGCGAATATTCACTCTGACGCCGCCTGGACATCGCCTGTCTCTGGAATTACAGGTTTCTCAGAGATCAAGGCGCCTTCTGCTGACTTGAACACTCCCTGCTGAGATGAGAGAGTGACTAGCTGTGGCCAGCAGGGAACAGTTGTGCCCGAAATCTGCATTTCCTCACAAGAGACAGGACACAGGCCAGGACTGGGACTTAGCTACAGGCATGCTCCCAAGTTGTGGAGGGGTTCAGGGCAGGGAGGAGGCTTCCCATGTTGACCACAGGAGGCGCCCTGCTCAGGGAGGGGGCGAGAGTGACGCTAGGACAGGCAGGACCTGAGTGAGGTTCTCAGGGTCCTGGCCCGTGGAGCGTCTCTCACTGTGGCTTTCGGTTCTGGGGCCTGGTTAGTCATGTGAGCCGAGGTGGAGTCATTGTAGCTGAGTCATGGGGGCCGGTGAACAGATAGAGATGGCACGGGGTGGTGGGGGGAAGAGACAGAGAGAAAGAGAAAGAGAAAGGGGGAGGAGGAAGAGGAAGAGGAGGAAGAGGAAAAGAAAAAGATATTAGAGATGCTAAAAAGTCATTGGGAGATGCCTGATTCCTGTTTTGTAGGAGGAGGAGGAGGAAGAAGAGGAAGAAGAGGAGGAAGAGGAGGAGGAGGAGGAAGAAGAAGAAGAAGAGGAGGAGGAGGAGGAAGAAGAAGAAGAAGAGGAGGAGGAGGAGGAAGAAGAAGAAGAAGAGGAGGAGGAGGAAAAAGAGGAGGAGGAGGAAGTGGAGGAGGAGGAGGAAGAGGAAGAGGAGGAGGAGAAAGAGGAGGAAGAGGAGGAGGAGGAGGAGGAAGAAGAAGAAGAGGAGGAAGAGGAGGAGGAGGAAGAAGAAGAGGAGGAGGAAGAAGAAGAGGAGGAGGAGGAAGACGATGAGGAGGAGGAGGAAGAGGAGGAGGAGGAGGAAGACGATGAGGAGGAGGAGGAAGAGAAGGAGGAGGAGGAAGAGGAAGAGGAGGAAGAGGAGGAGGAGAAAGAGGAGGAAGAAGAAGAAGAGGAGGAGGAGGAGGAAGAAGAGGAGGAGGAGGAAGAAGACGAGGAGGAAGAAAAGGAAGAGGAGGAGGAGGAGGAAGAGGAGGAAGAGGAGGAGAAAGAGGAGGAAGAGGAAGAGGAAGAGGAGGAGGAGAAAGAGGAGGAAGAGGAAGAGGAGGAGCTCTCCTTGAGATAAAAATATGTCAGAGAGTTCCCAGAGTGAAGTTTCTTTTTCTTCCAATGCCTGTTCCCTGAAGAATCATTAAAAGAACAACAATAGCAACACAACTCACAGGGTCATCGCATCTGCCCGAGACTTCTAGGGAGCCGAGTCTAGATTATTAGAAAACTGCCTCCCAGCCCGGCCCACTCCTGCTCTGCATGCACAGCGCTCAGGGACGGCACTCCCCGTGCACAGGATCAAAGCCTGCAAACAATTAATGAGCCTCTTCTTCCCAAAGAGTTCCCGTGACAACTGACAATAGCTCGGCCTGTCAGTGATGTCTTCCCTGCTATATGAGCACAGAACCCGCACCAGGAGAGGAGAGGGATAGGGGAGTGGGGGAAGGAGGCCCAGCCAGTGCCAGGCTGAGAAAGGGGCACTTGCTGGGGACTCTGGTCACCAGTAGGAAGGAATATGTCTGAGGAATCAGGCCAGAGAAACGTGTGTGACACACACACACACACACACACAAAGGCACACACACACAAACGCACACACACAAACGCACACACACACAAATGCACACACATTTCCTTTGCTACAAGGCTGAGAGAGGGACGAGCCCAGCCATTGCTCGGCCAGGCCTATTTGTAGATGCGAAACCTTTCAGGCATTGCAGCCGCAGAGAAACAAAGCAGCTCTGTTTACTGACAGGTTCACAAGATTGGACTGGGTTTCAGTGGCCATCTGTGGCTCCTGGTCACCCAGCGTCCATCCCCACCTCCTGGAAAGAGCATCAGCATTTCTTTGGGTAGCAGCCCCTGCAAGTCCTGCTGTTTGGTTCAGAGATGCGTGCTCAGGTTGGTGCAGTGAGACCCAAACCTGGGCCTCGGGCCGGACGGTTATGGGCCTCTCTTTCTGCTGGAGGGTCGAGGACAGGCGCTGCTGGGCCTGTTCCCTCCAGACACGCACAGACGTGGCTGCGGGTGAAGCTGAGCCAAGAGGTGAGAGAGAGCGTGATCTGAATCGCGCCACGCTGGAGGCCCCAGCCCCACGGGCCTTGCAATCAAGTGGGGGAGTCCATGTGTTCTCCGAGTTGGGCCCTGGTCAGTTGTGACTGAGGGTCACACCTGGGACGATCAATCAGACTTGCGCAGAAACACGAGGATCTCCAGAACTTTCTCCCCACAAGTCTCCCCTCTGCTAACCCGCAGGCTGCTTTCCCTGGCCTCCTCCTCCTCTCACACGTGGTAGGAGGGGAACCCCTGCTCCCAGGCCTAGCGACTGGGGCTTAGATCTCCATGGCTCAGGTCCTGGCCTCATTGTCCCTTAATGTCTTGGCTCTCCCTGTCAACCCCACCCACCAGGCTAGGGGTGTCTGTCCTTGACTCAGTTTCCCCGGGACTGGTTCCAGCAGCCACATCTGGAAACACCATCTTGGGTGACCATCAGTTGAGACGCCCTGAGCCGGGAGGCTCAAGACCCAAGCTCTAGCACAGCAGGCCCACCCCGGGGAACGTGGCCCGTGGGCCAAGTGACGCGAGAATGGAAAAGGACCGGAGCTGGCTTACTCCCCCCAGGAGATCCTGAAGTGCCAGCCTGTCTGTTCCTGTCACCTAAGGCCTGAGGTTGCCCTACGTCCTGTGCTGTCTCAAACAGGTTCTTCAGATATCCCTCCATCCTGTAAATTATCCATAGAATCCTTCAATTTCCCTTTTGCCTAAGTCAGCCGGGGCTGGTCTTAATCTAACAACTCAGAGTGACCCACCTCTGTCCACTGTCTGTCCCGCCTTAGTGGGACCTCTAGCTTTGGGTCCCAGACACCTCCACCAGCCCCTCCCCCAAACTTTAACCCTTTGGTGCCTGGCAGCATCCCAAGTTGTGACAGCAATTGCAAGAGTCCCAGGCTCAGCAAAATCAACTCCAATTCAATACATTTTATCCCCCACCCCCCAGGAGCTGCCTGCTTCTACCTTTCTACCTCCTATTGCAGAAATACAAAACGACAGCTAAGCTCCCCTGAATTTGTCCAACTACCTTGTAGTCTGTTAAGCTACAGGTTTTTCCATGTATATACCAAAGGAAAGCTTTCTCTTTGATGTTTAAATTGCATGTTTCCTTTGCCAGATACAGAGCAAGGAGAAAAAAGGAGAAAAGGAAAAAAAAATGAATATTTCAGATATACCTTGTTATAGGATTTGGTATTATTTTGCACTTTTATCTAGTTCATCCGGCATTTCGGAAAGTTTAGTTGTAGAAAGAAATCCACTTTTGGGATTGGAAAATAAACTAAATAACTTTCTCTTTTTCTCCACGGTAAAGTGGCTGACTTGGAGATGGCCACATTTTCAGGTGTTTCAAATCAGGAAAATAAGGCACATGTTTTATTATAAGTGTGTCTAATACTTGATTATTTGTACCTCATATGAAAAGATTAGATTTTGGAAGAGGAAGATTAATAACTTTCTTTTGCAGAGACAGGCGTGCGTTTGGCCCTGCATGCCGATTTAATTTTATTATGACACGGCGCACCGGCGAGGGTATCTTGCATTCACCAGCATTAGATGCACCCCAGGTAATGACCATTTAATTAAATCTCATTATGAAAATACCTTCTATCTGAGCACTGGGCAGAGCTTAAGAAATGAAGATACAAATTTCTGATTTCTGATGGCATTGCTTTTTTTTAGCCTGTCATTCATTAGGTAAAACCCCAGACACTGTTGGTCCACTTTTAAGCGCTGGGCAATGTCTCTGCTCCTTCCCCTCTGCTGGCTCAGAGCCAACTAGTGTTCAGCAGCAGGAGGAGCAGGGACTTTGCAGATTGCCCCCTGTCCATCCTGATTCCTTTGCCACCAAGCTGGGCTGCCTTGAGCAAGTTATCGAACCTCTCTGAATTCGCAATACCTTTATCTGTAAATGGAGTCAGCCCACACCTTTGTCACAATGCTGGGGACATGATAAAGTAGGTCAAGTGTCTGAGATGCAGGAGGCCATCCACACAGTGCTCCTTCTCTCTCCCTCCCGGCACTGCGCCGGTGCTGGCAGGCCTGGCTGGTCACTGGGAACACAGCCCGAAGCCACCCTCCTCCCAGGTGGAGTCGGGGAGGGGAGCACAGTCCCCCCTGCAGGGAAGCCGGTTCCCTGCAGCCCTCGGGCACCAATTCTCCCTTGTGATACTTCCTCCCCCTTGCTCAGATAGCAAACAAGTTTAATTTAATGGTATCTGCTCCTGACAAGCAGCTTCTGCAACCTTGAAGAAGCAGCAATTCCTACCCGGCTCCCGCCTGCGGCTCCGGAGCGATCGCCTACCTGATGGTTTGATGCTGCAGGGAATCGGGGTCCGTGGCGTTCACGGTCAACAGCACGCTGCCCACGGAGATGTTCTCCCGCCTGGTCACCATCATGGGGTCTGGATAGAAGACCGGACCCTCATTGACATCCAGGACGGTGATGTGGACGGTCGCCGTGGAGCTGGGGCCGTAGGAGACATCGGGTACCAGTGGGTCCTCGTTTTCCACTTTGATCAGCAGGGTGTGGAAGGCAGAAATCTCGTAGTCCAGAGGCTGCAAGGCAGACAGAGCGGTTCAGGGCGTGCACGCGCCGCCAAGGCAGATGGTTTCGCACAAAGTTCCTCTGACATTCCATAAACAATGTGGAATGGACTAAGCTTTATGGAATTTGGGATCCTCTTTAAGAAAAAGAATGTGACACATGCAAATGAAAAATTAGGCATGGATGTCTCTCATTTTGTTTTTTTGGATTGAGAAACAAGTGACAACAGATGACTTGGACCTTAGTGATCCGGGTTCTTCCCTCTGGGACCTCTTTAGACAACTCGCTGGCCACGGTGACACTGAAAGTCTCCCCGCCTGTAACCTGTAACCCCACAGCACCCGGTACTCACGGGGGCTGGGAAATGAGAGGCCCTGAAGCCCAAGCTTCGCTGTCTTCATGGTAAGATAGCCCTACCTCCGATAAAACGGGACAGCAAATAGAACAGGCAAACAGAGGTTACGTTTTGAATGTTTCTCATTCACTCGCTGTGAAGTCTAAAGGGCTTCACGTCACTTTAGAGTGTAATGTCTCCTGGCTCGGGTGTGATGGAGGGAAAAGTGTCATGTAGCTGAGAGTCTAAGAACATGGGGTTAAGCTGCTGGGCCCTTCCCCATCTGAGGGCATTTGAAAGTGTATAGGGGCATTTTCAATAGTCGCCATGACTTGGGGGCTCTGCAGCCATTTGCTGGGCAGGGGACAACGATGCCAGACACTGCTCCAGACAGTCCCACACAATAGCAGATCGTCCTGTCCCAGCGCCAATGGGCAGCCCCAATGAGGGCCACTCTAGATGATTCTGCAAAGGGGGCTGACAGTGCCCACCTCCCCCAGCCAGTGTGGGATTCAATCAGAGGATGCCAAGGAAACCCCATTACGAACATTATTAACATGGTGGCCCTGCCCACTGAGCGTCACTCTTTCCAAACCATCAGAGCAACATTATGCAGTGAGAGTGATGTTTCCCAGGGCAGGGCTCCTGTCGCCGGGGTGCCCAGCAAGACCTTTAGGTAGGATGAGGGCAGACTTCTTACTTCCATCATTACTATTTTTTTCTCATGTTCACTAGGAAAAACAAGTAGCCAATTCATGCGACCCACGACACGAGGGCGGGGAGGGCAAGACGAAGTGAGTCAAGGGATATGATTTATACTCAACTAAAAGTAAGCAAACAACAGCTGTCCAGGTTGCAACAGATATGGAAAGCTGGGAGCAGAGGTGAGGATGGCTGAAACTGGGGAAGGGGCTACGCAGGCGCAGAGCCGGAAACGGAGTCCAGCAGGATGATCAGTGACTTGAGGCAAATTACTTTTCACAATAATTACAGCTGACACGGACACAGTGCTAAGCACTCCACACATGGGGAGGATCACGTGCGTGCAAACACACATACACACACATGCGCACACACGCACACACACACAGTGCTTCCTGGTTGTAACTGGACTTCCTCGCTTCCCCTAGAGCAACTCCCAGCAGGGTTAGTATTAGAGTTCACAGATGCTAAGCTGTTGGTGCCTAGCAGCTGCCCAGTTACATTTTGGTTTCGTCCCTGTAACACAAGAATAATCTATCATCCCATCCTCTTTTCTGTGGATTCTAATAACGGATCTCTGCCCATCTCGAGGGATGCCTGAGATACGCAACCTCAGTACAGTAGCTTTCAAACTTTGCTGAACTTTCCTTGCCAGGGAGCTGCTAGGCTTGGAACCCACAGCTATTTGTCTCGATTAGGATATCGAAGGGGGCAGAAACCTTTGGCTTGCTGGGTGGCAAGGGCATCGAAGGCCAGTCCCCCGCACAGGACTGGGACACGGAGTGCCCCAGGCTCCTGAAACCCACTTCCACCCCACGCAGGCACCAATCATAAGCTCAGCCTAGCGTGGTCTGGCACCCGAGTCCCAGGAGGCAGAGTGCCACCGACACGAGGCTGGTCTTTGCAGGGAGCAGAGCCTCTCTAGCATTTATTTACATTTGCACAAGATGGGACTTAATAATTCCAGTTGTGGGATGCCCAGGGCTAGACCACCTGGAGCTGGTGAGACATGGGTCTCCCCTCCTAGTCCCTTCTGTGAGCTGTACATTGGATTAAGTCGCCCTCCATGATCTCAGCTCACAACCTTATTAATGTGCTTTGTCTGTGGCTGGGCCTCTGTGTCAGACATGGGAGGAAATTGAAAATGCTCTTGATGGAAGCTACAAAGATGCAATTCAATTAATATTTTTTCAAGTGTCAAGAGAGGATGTGGATCATTGTCCTGGAAAATGCAAAGGCTGGAAAAGCTGTCCCGCATGGGAAGGGTGGAGGATGGGGCATTTGTTAGCTGGAAGAGGGAAGATTCAGACGGGTCCTGCAGCAATTTTTAAGTCTGTGACAGGTTTGGGGAACAAGGGTGCTTTCGGGGTGCTTGTTTCTGTGAGGACAGAAGATAAAATAGACTTAAAAGGCAGGGTTGATTATAGTCAGCTGAAACAAGAACCTTTTGATAGTTTTGCAATGGGTTTACAAAGCAACTAAGGGTGTTTCCAACCTGAAGGTTTTAAAGATGAAACGTACTCGTTTGCCAGAACCGTTAGGATTCAGTCCTGTTGGGAGACAGGACTTTGCTGGAAACAAGCACACGCCTGAGACTCCAGCTGGTTCTTCAGCACCCGGACTCCAGCTGGCCAGGGAAGTGCTTGGCTACTGGTGGCCGGCTGCCCAGCAGCCGTTACCAACCCCCTTTGCCCTTCCCCACCTCTTACTGTAGAGGTCAAAGGTCAGATTCAGACTTTCTCAGTTTTCCTTGAAGTTAAGGGTGAACATGTGTCACTGGCCAATGAGACATCACGAGAAATTGGCTGAGGGACTCTTGGATCCCTGATAAGAGGAGAGGGGCACATGAAAGCACTTTCTCTCACTTGTCTGGCTGCCTCCTTATTTCCTGCCTTGGGGCACAGCAGTGGGAGGACACGATGCTAGGGGCTTTGGCAGCTATTTTATGTCCAAGAGGCAAAAGCCAAATAAGCATCTGAGGTGCCCTCTCTGCAAACCGCGGGGGAGGAGGTGCCCACTGAGGCTGGGACTCTCACTGGGCTTCAGTTTTCCTAGTGAGCAGACTCCCTTTGCTACAGAATTGGGGTGCAGGCTCCTCCTCCCTTTGGCCACATGAATCCATAGGAAGGGCCCTGAGCTCTCCCTACCTCTTAGTACATGTGAGGCAAAGCTCCAGGCAGCCTTCTAGAGGGAGGGCCAGCCATGCCCTCTGGTGCTGTCCATGGTGCCGGGCACCCAAGGCCTCCGTTAGGAATGCTTTCGGCTGCAAGTAACAGGACACCAGCCTGATAGTGGCTTCAGTAATAAAGAGAGTTTAAGAGTTTTTATAAATTGATGAAGGTAGGCAAGTCCAAGATTGGCTGACAGTTCCAGGTGTCAGAGAGCACCTTGGTCTTGTACTTCCCAACCTCCAGAACTGTTAGCAATGAATGTCTATTGTCTGTAAGCCACCTGAGCTATAGTACTCTGTTATATTAATAATATGTTGTCGTAATGGATATGACAACAACCCTAAGAGGTATGTTATACTATCATTCTCATTTTACAGTTGAGGAAACTGAAGCACAGAAAACATAGTTCAGGATCTTGGCCAAGGACATATAAGGAGTAGAGTAGGCAGCAATCTTTCTGCTCTGCCCACTGCTACTATTACTAGAAATACGAGGGCTCCCTGCTTTTGAGGCAATCGGCTTCATGCACTAGAAAAGGAACTGTGTTCCAATGAAGGTCCTGGTCTCTGGCAGAAACTCTCCCCAGAACTTCCCAGACGGAGTGGGACTGTATGAGATCCCTTCCCCCAGGAACCAGGACCACCTGGGCCACCCCTTCTATGCCCCCATCCTCCCACCTGATACATTTGGATAAGCACAAGCTTCACATTTATGGTCACATTTCTCCCTAGTTCCACTCACACCCAGAGCGAGGGGTCAGCGTGCCAGCTAGCAAGGCTCACAGAGGGTTTCCCACCAAGAACTATTTTGTGTGTGTTTTGCAGAGAATAATTGAGAGTCTGCTAAGAAAGATTAAGAAGAAATGTAATAGTCCCCATTCTGAGCATAGATCTTAACAAACACACACACACAAAAAAACTTCACATATCCCATTTTAGTAGATCTTTTGATAACTGATTAGCAGATGTGTGAAGAATTTCACTTAAAACTTAAGTTTGGTTTTCTTAAAGTTACACATGAGTTTGAGATTTTTTAGAATCTGTAAAACAGGTTCCCTTTAAGGCTGCTGGTTTATGCTGTTGAGGATACAAGGACACCCGTAAGCCCTGAGCCTTTTCCTTCGTTAATTTTCAAAGGAAGAGAAGAGGAGAATTTCTTCATGACCTTCTAAACTCAGTGACTCCACGACCCCCTGTGCCCACAGGAGGAGAAAGGGGCCGGTGGAAGTGCCCTTACTTTGACGACGGACAGCATCCCCTCGTTGGTCTGAGGGTTGGTGTGGATCTCGAAGCTCTGCCCGGGGTTTCCATTGATGATGGTGTAGGCAGCCCTCCACGCACCCGTGGTGGGGTCGTCTTTGTCTTCGACTGTCAAATTGACAATAACTCCCACGGCTCCTTCCTCCACTGTGGCTTGAAACTGCAAACAAAGCAGACGGTTACTGTCACTCTTTTGAAAAACCATAGCAATGACCACTTATTACATGCTTTGTATTGGAGACCTTACACACATCATCTTACTTAATGATGAATGACAACATAGGGGGATTTTGGCTTGGAAGATGTTGCATTCCACCTCTCAGCTTTCCTTAAACTCAGATGGGTCTGAGAGACTGGTTTCTCTCCTACAGAACGTGGGCAGGGCAGGAATGATGCTGGCTGGACTAGGCTGGGCTGCATGGGGGTGGGAGGGCTAGGAGACTGTGCCTCCTCTCTGTCCTCCTTGGCCCCTGCCTACCAGAAGGCAGAGTGCCACAGGACAGGAGGGGAGTGGGGGTCACAAGGCAGAAGGAGCCTGGGTGCCTGAGTCACTATATGCAGAGGAACAGCCTGGTGGCTGAGAACACCGGCCCAGAACTACAATTGAGTGAGCAACAAACTTCAATTGCATTCAAGCCATTTTGGTTTGCATTAGTTCTTGCAGCTTTGCCTGCCCTAAACAGCAAGATGACCAGATGAGTGGGGCGCTAAGACTCGTAGGTAGGGGGACTAGGATCCGAAGCGCAGTGTTTGACCCCAGAGCCTCTGCTAGACCCGGCCGTCTTCCCTAATGGAGAAAACCAATCCCATTCTTCCCACGCCTTGTCCTAATAGGACCTTAAAAATCACCTGCTAAAGAATCACATAAATCAATTGTTTGGAGCCTTGTTGTACCTGTGTTTTTATTGTAATACATCTCAAATACTTGTTGAAAGTAGGTGTGGCAAAAATAAATCAATAGATGAAAAATCATTTTTCCCCATAGATAGAGAATTTCATGAGTTATCATTAGCACATTCCTTTGAGCTGGAAGCATAAAGTATTGTTTCGGTGCTCACCTCTGACATGCTACAGGTGAACAGTAATCTGTTTGCAAATATTTTATAAACAAGAAATACCAATAAGCTGACAACAAGAAGAAATATCTTGGAATTTCAATTAGTAGGAAAGTGAATCTAGAGACAGGCAGATGATGTCAAAAAGCCCTTGTGTTCAAAGAGAAGTAATTTGAGAAATGAGGTTTCAAAAGCAGTGGCTGATTAATTGACTTGCAAATCATTAATCATAAGCCTTAATCCCGTTGCCTTGCAGGGGAGGGGGTGGGGACAGGAGCTAATTTGTCTCCTGCATTTAGGCAAACCCGGGCGCGTTGCTTGTTTTTCATAAAACGGGTGCTGGAGACGTCTTAGAAGATGCTCGGAGGATGGAAAATAGCGGGAATGAGGAGGGATATGGAGGATGCTGTCACATGGAAACAGCTCCAGGGGGCAATTTAAATAAGGTCTACTGCTCCTATCTTTGATCTTTCCCTCTTCTCGCAAAAATCATAGAGTTTTTGAGTTGGAAAACTAGACCAGTGCTTCTCAGGCTTGTCTGCACATTAGAATCTCCTAGGGGGGTTTGAAAAAAAAAAAACGTTGAGTGTTATTTCACTGACGACAAGGCCTAGGATTCAATATTTTCTTAACCTGCCTGGATAATTCCGATATGCAGTCTGGAGTGAGAATGAGAAGGACTGCAAGTCTAAGGATGGCACGTGGGTGTCAGCAAGGGTGAGGCGGCCTGAGCCCCGGCCCAGCGGCCTGCGGTGCATCTGGGTTCAACAGGAAGGAGTGCTGTGACCAGCTGTCCGAGGTACGTCCAAGAGGGAGCTATGGGGACACAGTGCTATCAAATCCCTGCAGATTACAGAAGACGACGACTGCACAGAGAAGGAAGGAGGAACGGTCTCCTCCAATGTCGTTTAGTGACCAAAGATCAGACTCAAGATCAATGCATCCCAGTGATCTCTGCTCCCAACCAGTTCTGCTACTTGTGCCCACCTCAGACCCCCTTCGCTTAGGCCAGTCCTTCGCCCCTGCTGTGGTCTAGAGCCAGAGGGCTGGTTCTCCGTCCCTACTGATCACAGTAGAAATCACCTTATAACCTGCCCTTGTGGCTCTTCTGACACCTGTACCTTAGGAAACCAGGTAGCCAATTTCGTGGGTGTGGAGTGTGCTAAGACTAGAGGATGCTGGGAGCCACCTCTCAGGTGGAAATGCAGTTACGTCCAGTACATACGTGAGAAGGTGCTTTGTCAAAGCACACAAGTGCCGCACTGCCAAGAAGGAAAGACTATAATAAATCATGATTTGAGGAAGCTGGAGGCGCTACGTGCATCTGGCTTGTTCATGACTTTATCTCCAGCCTCTTGAGTGCTGCTAGGTGCAGAGAAGGGACTCAGTAGAAATTTTTTAAAGGAATGAATGGTCTTAAATATAGGAAGTGGGATCTGACAGCAGAGGGGAAAGCTGGGAGAGAACGTGAAGGGATAAAGCTGTACAGGAGCAAGACTATGAGGGACTGACATGCCGACCGGTTCCTATTCTGCCACTTGCCTGGGTGCACACGAGGGCAGGGATGGACTGATCTTCCCTGTGCTCCAGCAGAGTTGCATGGTGACATTTGTCAACTCTAAGCATTTTTGCCTGTACTAGCCCCTCCTACCATAATAGATTTTTATAGTCTTTAAACATTTTATTTTTGTGATGTGAGGAAAAGAATTAAAAATTTCTCTTGCCCTAAGAGTTATTTTTTTCCCCTCCTGATTTTAGTTTCCTAACACTGTGCCAATGGTACCTGATGGATAAGACAGCCCTGATCCTCAATAGATAGTGCCATGTCCAACACATGACCAGATCTAAAGATCTGGTGGATGGATGGATGGATTAATAAAATTAATATTTAAGCTATGTCTAAGTGAGACAAACCTATGCAGCTTCTCCCATGGCACTGAAATTTTCATGTCTACAGAGTCTACCAAAGGGGCTGGCATAGGATACCTTTTTAGTGTATGACCAATGAATCCAAGTAGAATGGGAAAGTGGTAATGTTCTAGAAATTCTCAAAAGTGTGTACCGTGACCTCATGTGTCCTTAGATATAGCAGGGGGTCCACAGCCACATTTACCTGCTATCCATCCATTTATCCATCCATTCATCCATTCATCCATCCATCCATCCATCCATCCATCCATCCATCTACCTATCCATCCATCCATCCATCCGTCCGTCCATCCATCCATCCATTGAGTGATCCATCCATCCATCAAGGATACACTAGTAAACAAAACAGACATGGTATGTTTTCTCATGGAAATTCCAGGCTGGAAGGAGAGGCAGATATAAGATAAATGTATAATTATAAAATTGCGTTACCTGCTAGGACAGAAATCACACAGTTCTTGGGGAGTCTGTAGCAGTGCGTGTGTATATGGGAGGGGCTACCTGAGTCAGTCCGGGGAGGATCATTAGGGAGAAAGGCCCCGAGGACTGACAGAAGAGGAGGCCCTGGCGAGGTGAAGAAGGAAAGGGTGCTCCTGGCACCTGAAGAGCAGGAACAAAGGCCAGGTGGCACAGGGAGGCCCAGGTGCATGTGAGGAACAAAAGGAAGCTGGGTGTGGCTGGAACGTAGGCGGGGCTGGGGAGAACGGTGTCACATTGGACCACAGAGGTGGACAGGGTTAGACTGTGCAGGGCCTTGCAGGCCATAGAAAGGCATTTGGAATTTATTTTATAAGCAAAACGGAGTCTAATCAAGGAACTGGGTTATGTTTAAATCTACTCCTGAAAGAATTCAGAAAAAAAAATCTTTAAATATAGAAAACATTCAACACAATTATTATAGTAATTGTTAAGACCATTATCTGATTCCTGCATAAACTTATAAAGCTGGTTTCTTTGAGCATCCATTTAGAAACTCATTATTGCTTAATTAAACACTCATTTTATTAATTCTATTCAATGTTTTAACCCCATTATGTAATTCAAGAATGGAAAATTAAATAGATTAAAATGAAATAGTACCATTTTACATTTCTATAGCAATGCTCACTTTGTGATTTAAAAACAATAGACATACATTAATTTACCACACCAGAGCAGGAGGAATTATTGATTGTAACATTACTTCCTTTAATTGAAAATAAATAGATAAAGTTACTTTCCTGTTAAACTGCATGCCATCAAACACCAGCTGTAGAATGGACTTTTACACAGCCGTGCTGGGCGTCGGCTCATCGGCATGACGTCAGCTTGTTAGCTCTTTCCAGCAAATTCAGAACTGAGTTATCTCTTTCTCTTTTCCCTGACAAGGTGGGCTGAGATACATGGCGGCATTTAGGACCAGCCACAAAGGTCATCACCAGGGAAAAGAGGAACTTGAATTTTACTATACCCCAAGAATGCACGTCCTTCCCCCACAGAGCAAAGAGTTGGTCTTCACGTTAACCCGGGGGATGGAAACAGTGACCGGCAGGCTGGAAAGCCACAGGCGGGGGAGAAGCGACAGAGGATGATTCTAAGGACTGCCGTATGCCAGCTTATGTGCCCGACCTGACTGCGAGTCCAGGCTCCTGAGCTGCCAAACCTGAAGGTTTACAGAGAACCGACGCTGAACTTGAAAAGCTGCAATGTAGTCACCTGGGCCTCGGTTTTAGAAAATTAAAAAGATAAACTCTCAGAAAGATTTATTAACTTAACTTTTCTTTGTGAGGATAAAAAGGTAGGGGAGAGACCATCGGGAATTTAACTTGCAAACTCTTTTTTTTGAGTCTGTGTTTTACATAAAGGACACGGTGTATTTGAAGAATCTAACCTCGTGCTGATAGTCTAATGGGTACAGACGCTGATTGATATAAATAAGATAATGCATTTAAGAAGCTTGGCAACTTGCCTGGCACATTTATAGTGAGGGATCAATATTTGTTAGCAATGATAATGATGATTGATTTCACTCTGTATTATATGAAATTCTTACTAATAAATTGGAGAATAATGGTTCAAACCCTTGGGACTCTTTCTGTTCTTATCACAGTCTGCCTTATACTGTAGTTATATTTGTGCACATACCTTATTTCCCTTGAGTTGTGTGGGATAAGCTCTTTTCTTTTCAGTTCTGTAC